ATAGGAGAAGACACCGGGGCTGTGCGAAACTCGTCCACATGCCTTAAATTTCGTAGGGTCTTATTTCACGCTCTTCCACACCTTTTTCCTACTTTTTTTGATTAGTGCTTCATTGGCCACCTGTTCTAACAAATTTGACCCCTGAGACCTGCCAAAGTCCATCGCGGGCGCTGTCTTTTAAGTTATGCTAACGTACGGTAATCTTTGACACCACGAAATTTTCCAGGGAAAATTCCATTGCTGGTTGTGAATCCGCGTTTGAATTTGGTAACGGAACACGACTCAGACGGTGGAGTATGCGAGGTAGACAACTATGGCGCTGTTCGGCTTGATAGGGGAGAGGGGGATTTTACCAACTTCTATCGGTCAATGGCGATGTCTCCAGTACACTTGTGCAGTTCTGTAAAGTTATTTAGCAGCAAACACTTCGTTCGCAAAATGCCCCTCCTCCCCTCCCAAGCCGAACAGCGCCCACAATTAGCACCCAGTAATAACTGGTTTGTCGATTCCTTTCAATAGTTTGTTTAGGCAGCTGTCAAACGCCTTCCTGTTCATGCTAACACTCACAGTCAGAAATTGGAATTCTTTCATGAGATAAATTTCATGAAGAATCTCGGTTATCACGCGCATGTGATCAGGTAAGTTATCTTTCTGCCTTCAGGGCACGTCGTACATTGGGGAATTCCCAGCAAAGGTCGTATAAGGTCGCAGGAGCAAGACAGGAGTTGGATCCAGTGCGAGAATTTTTTGATGATTGATTTTTCTATTTTACGCGCGCCAGCCACCGCAACATTGGAAGGCTCCGATTAGGAGAGGGGTCGTACTTGCTCATCGTCCTAAAGGGGCAAGATGGTAAGATGAGGGAAAGGATATTTAAGAATGAACTACTGACAGATAATTCGGACGCCCCTGAAGAAAACAGCAGAATTTGGAGACTCCTCTGCGATTGGGGACCACGCCACTTTGTTCAAGAAAGGGCTTCTGCATTTTGGGTGATCGCGAGCTCTGGTTTCAAACGCACCTCCATGCTCGTCAAATGGGCGTGGCCTGGCGCACTGCTCGGTTGCCCTGATGGGCGTGCCCCTCCCCCTTACTTTCCGCTTATTAAGGAACGGGGCAGCAAACAAGAAAACAGGCCCAGCTCCGGCATACTTCAGAGTGAATTTGAACTGCCCATGTTCCACTTTCCTGCATTCATGGCTTGCTAAACCTTATTTATGTCTCTTAAGCCCCTATAAAATCGAAAGGGTTTATTGAGCTATTTTTTGCAATCTTCGCCCTCGTCAAAGTCACACCCGCTACATTAGCGAGGCTGACCACCCTCGGGATGTCACCTGCGCCAGTTGTGAGCTCTAAAGCAGTTGTTTTCAGCATGTTAGGCTGTATCTCCTCTCCTGAAAATCCGATGATCCTAGTCGAATACTGTGCATATGGAGACTTGTTGCGATTTCTGAGAAATCATCGCGAATTTCATTCTCATGGTAAGCTTATCACCTATTCATGAGATTCATATTGAAGGCTTCTTCTCGGGAGGCGATAAGCGAGGATAGGAATGTAACAACAAAAAATCGAGAGAATTTTTCCAGCATCAAGATGATGAGTGCCCGATCGAAGCCGATATGTGCCTTCGCATCAAAGATTTGGTCTCTATCGCATGGCAAGTCAGCGATGGTCTCGTAAGTTACAAGCATATTCCCACACATTTCTCTGATGTACGTAATAGGGCCGCAGGGTCTAGAGCAGTGCACATCGTTGTTGGGGAATCCCCAACAGGGGGGAAGGTCGTATCTGGGCTGAGAAAAATTTATTTTGATAGTTAATTTTTCTTGTTTCGCGGAAGCTATGAAGGGGGGAGGGAAGTGTCGTATTTGTTCGATGTTGGGGTCGCATTTCCCTTCTGACTTAGAAGGTTGCTGACTTTCTGACTTTTCGTGATTTTTCCTGTTGTGTACTACACCCCTCCCCCGCTCGACAGTTCAATGAGGAGGAAACCATGGAGGGGTCGTACCAATCCACTAAAAAAAGGGGGATTTGCACGGTCGTACGGACTCGACCAAAATCCCCAACTAATGATTCGCCCTAGTCTAGAGAAGCCTTATAAGGTACTCGGTCCGCGTATCAGAATCCGTTCTGGTCAAACACTCTAGTCCAACTAGGTTAAAAACCAACTTCAAAACCGCTTGAACCCCAAGTTTCCTCCTCTGGTATAACCCTCTTCCCCATCCTACCAACCATCCCACTGACTTTTTCCAACTTTGTACATTTTTCCACAGTTTACGACCACTGCTAAATATAGCTCTCAATGATATCAATAGCGCGCTTGGAGCACGAAAAATAAAAAAAAACACTTCAGCCCAATCAGTTTCGGGGTTTCTGCCTTGCTAAACGGTAACTTTTTTAGACATATCTTTCTTCGAAGAATTTCATTCATCGTGATGTTGCTGCTCGTAACGTGCTCATCACCAAGCACCTTGTCGCAAAGGTGAGACAGCCTTACGAATCTTCGCACTACCTATTCTATCCATAGGATTGGGAGATGTTCTGTAGGACTAGAAGACTAGTTCACATAAATTTGTCGCAGCTGCAACCCTTTATAGGTTAGTGACTTCGGTCTAGGCCGTTATGCAGACTCGGCGCTCTATACAGCCCGAGGAGGACGTCTCCCATTCAAATCCATGGCTCTGGAAGCCCTCAAATTCTATGAGTTCTCTGAGAAAACTGACGTGTAAGTGAAATCTGCCGTTGTCTGCGTTGTCTGTCATCCAGCTGTGTTCAGGTGGGCATTTGGTATTTTGCTGTTCGAGATTTTCTCACTCGGTGACGTACCATATTCCACTGTGCAACCGATGGATATGATCAGCTACATTGAACAAGGCAATCGCCCACCACAGCCGGAAAAATGTCCAGATGAGATGTGAGTTCCCAGGATATAGAACTCAAATGCATAAGGCACGATAATTTGGTACTTGCTCAAAAATACTATAGAAGCAGGGGTGCTATATAGTAGGAAAATGGCGAACAGGCGAAATTGACCGGCCGTAAGCCTGCGGAGAACCTTTGTTCTGCACTGCACTGAGCCAGCACTTCTGGACGGGTTTCCCGCTGGCATCGTGCCAACAAGCGCTTTGAAAGATACGGCTGCACGTATGCATCCATATATCCGTAACAACGCTTCGTATCAACTGTACTTCATAAATGAAGCGATAAGAGTACCAGCGTCGATGTGACTGTCGGCCATTTGTGGGCGGGTAGTTGCGGTGGGCGTCTGGGTCGGCATGTTGCACCTTGGTTAGGCGCTATAAAGGTAAACTTGGTTGGCGAAGGCGCCGCGCAGCGCCTCCTATTGGGCATAATATTCTCTCGTGCTTGGCGCATCGACCCTGCACGCCTTGTCAACTTATCGTGCCGCGTGCCTCTAAATGAACGAACTGGAGTTTGATCCGGAAGAAGATCTAGGGCGATTCAATTGGTAGGGCACCTTTTATCATTCCTTTTTCCTACCTTCTCCTTCCTATTCCAGTACCTGGAAATTGCCTACGTTTTAAGAGAATATAGATTCATATTTTCAGCTACAAACTAATGACAAGGTGTTGGAAAGCGGACCCTAACGATCGACCAACATTCGCTGAGGTAAGTCGTGATGATTCTGAACAATAGCTTTTCAAGATCGTTCGCCACTCACAGCTTTCAGATACGCGGTGAACTAACTATCCTTCTCAACATCGACGACGAGAGCTATGGCTATCTGAACCTTAACCCTGATAAGAAATCCCGACAAATTCGTGAAATGATCAACCGGCAGGTAGGTCTTCTCAAAGACACTCCAGAGAAGGGTTGGGGGTATGAGCGGTGACCGAGGCAAAAAGGCACTTTTTTCTAGAGTACATCATCAAAGCCTTCGCACCGAGTGAACGCGGAAGAAGGGTCAAATTCGCTCTAGGTGTGATGTGGGAGTTTTATAAAGGGCATGTTCTGACGCTGGGATGAAATTACGCTAAATACGATTCTCCCCAATTCTTTTTCTGCCGGTACGACATCTTATCCACAAGTGACCGATCACCCGCCGCTGACAGCGAGAAGAGGGGGATAGTGCACGTGGTGAAATGGGAACACGGGAAAAATCAAGAATCAGGAAAAAGATCCCAAGGCCAAATGCGACCTCCCATTATCCAATGAAATATGGAAGAGAACGAGAGAAAGTAGCGTTCACAAACACACACTATTCCGCGATAATTGTATAGGCGGAGACTAGCCACCGTTGTGCCTTCCTTAATGAGCTTCTCATTCCATTATGAGAAACACTACTTGTTACGCATAACAAGGAGAGGCTTGTCGACGAAGAAGGCAGCTGTACTTATGAGTCTCCGCCTATGTGATTATCGCGGAATCTTCCTCAAAAGCTCACGCTAACTTATGAATTTTAAGATAACTGAACTTCACGACAGAAATGACGAGGACGTGCGTGAAGAAGACATTCACGAGGACACAGCGGAGATAGTCAGCGTCTCAGGACACGTCACAGAGCCAAACCACGGGTATTTTTTCCCGATTTTCTCAATGTGCTATTATTTCTCTAGGCATAGGGATACTGAATTGTCAGGAAACCCAGTTGTGGAGAAAAGCAGAAAAAAAAACCGTGGCGGTTGCTCTCCTAGAAAAGAATTCGCACGACATGACACCGAAGAGAGGGCGTGGTCAGGCAGGGTGCGTAGCAAGACAGTCATCTTGGCGCCGCGTTCGAGCGCGCCATGTAATGCGTGGCGAGCTGCACACCAACCTGATTATTGGTGGCTATAAGTGAAGCTATAGGTCACCCGCTGTCCACGATACCATACATTGCGATCAACGCACGCTGCAGAAGGTGGTATGAATGAGAACGCATCAGGAGTAGTACACCCGAACAACTATTACAGGGGGGGGGGGGCAAAAAAAAGTCACTTTTCGACGAGGCACATATTCAGGCAAATTTTTTTCGCTGCCCAGACAGAGGACATGGATACGAGTACCAGGGCGGAAGATACCCAAGATGTTCCTCTACAAGCAGGAGCTGGCTCTCGCCCATCACCTTCATGTACACCAAAATATGAAGTCATCTCCAGTCGCAGCCTGACTGGAGAAGACCTTTGGAATTCACGTTCACTCACCAATAAATGACGAAAACTTCTAAGATATAGCGCCACCCATGGATGTCTACCTCGGAGAGCAGCACACTCGATTAAACTCCAACCATAGTCGGACTCCAACATAGGAGACAGCTCCGACAACGTCCGCCACGGAATCCAGAAATATCATCTTATCTCAGTCGCCAACGCACCAGCTTGATAAGTGGGACCCGATTGCGGTACCCGTGGAATGTGTGAAGCCCGATATTTTCTTCGCTGGGACCCCGGGACTTAAGGTTAAGCGCTGACGGTTTAACATCGACCAACCAGTGAGAATATTCCTGCCCCTCATGTCGTCGCCCGCACTTCTTGGAAACTTCTTTTACTGCCTTACGCATTTGGGTGCCACACAATGAACATCGAAGGGCATTGGAAAAACTCTCGCCCACTTGGAATGGAAGGGGGCTGGATACTTAAAGAAGGTGGAATATCCAAGTAGGTCACCTGACCTGAATATCTCAATTACCCGGTTCGGCGGAGTTTCACGTTGGGCGGTTCTCCGGTGGTGGAGAATAATCAAACTATCGCGGCAGCTTCGGGGACCCACATCCGCGGTCTCGGGCCAGACCAAATACGATGCGTGCCAGAATCTCTCGATGGCGCTCCTCCAGAAGGCTGTGGCGGAGTGTCATAATAGTATTTAATATGCTCTTTAATATGGTGGTAGAAATGTCCGATCAGAATTTTATAAAGTGTAACTTATTAGCGCCTCGAAAGTCAATGAAAGCAAGAAGTGACGTTTTTTTGTCCCCCCCCCCTGTATATTAGCGGTGCTCCCTAAAGTTGTGACATTTATCGAATTTGTTTTTTCAAACAAGGTTTATCTCGCGTGAGACAGCAATCTGATCAAACGATGATTGCACTACCTTCATGGCAAACTTTGTTGCCAACCACATAAGCCAAAGTAGTTTGGCTGTGCTTTGCTCTCCAGGAGTTTTAGTTCCGTGTCGAAAAGAGCCGGGTTATTTTGGATTTTAACTGATTTTTAACCCAGAAGTGGTCGCATGAGCGGATTAAATTAGATGTTAAATTAGATTGGCGATCGAAAAGAGCTAACTGTAAGTCAGCGACCTCACGAAGACCTGTGGTGAGAAGGTTCACCAGTATAAGCTTCAGGACTATCGAGCGTTTTCATTTTCGAAATGTTGACCCTGAGCTTGGGAGACTGGAACGTATAACAAAACCCTGCCTTGCGTTGGGGAACCCAAATGATAGCGAGTTTTCTATCCTCCCTGCGCCAGTTGATTGTAGTGGGACTCGCTGGTTAGCCCAGCGTTGAGAGCAAGAAACTCCCCTGAACTCCCTCCATGAATACTTCACCACACGCACAGTATCACCTTCCTACTGTATTGATGGGATTGCACGACCGGTGCTGCCCTTCCTGGAGATACTTAGCTATTGAGCGCTTCGGAGTGTTTCGCCAGAGAACACCTTTACTTATCCAAGTCACAGTGTTGTTCAACCAGTCTGTATAGCGGAAAACAGGGAGAGAAGTGGTAGACAGTACCTACATGCCCTTCCCTCTTCAGTATCGGTCAACTCACGAGAAAACTTTTAACCGAACTTCAATACTTGCTTGAGAAAGTGAAGACCTCTGTCTTTTGTGCTTTTTGGGAGAAGTAAAGACTATTAACAGGAGTTAGAGTTCGTACGAAATGGTTTGAAACAAAAGGACGCATAGGCATCCAAAACTAAGGCAGATAGCCTCATGAACGAGGTTTGTCTCCCAAGTAGAAGTCAGCTAAAATTATAGCGATCGGACATTTATTCACCGCCGCTTTACTAGGAAGGTAGCATAAGGTCCTAACCAGAGCAAATGCCGCGAGTGGCTCCAGTCAGTTGTGACTTTGTAGAAATTCAAATAGCGAAGCGACAAAAATGATTGACTTCATCTAACCGTTTGGATACGAAACGAATGTGGAATAATCACTTTACACACTTCCCACATACCACATAACTGGATCTCGAATTACCTGCAGAAAAATTTCATACGAGAAAGAAAGAAAGAAAATGTCACGAACTTTTGGCACAACCCAGTAGTTCCCGGAGGTAGAGAAGTTGTTCACACCTCTATCAAAAATATTTTTGATTGCTGTTTTTTCGATTTCTTTCTGTTCTTGAGTGCGCTCTACAGCTTCTACTCCACCCCCCCCCCTAGCGAAGGTAGTTTCTCGGGCAAAAGTGAGGAAGCTCAGGAAAAAGGCTTCCGGAAAGTGATAGGCAAGCTGGAAAATCAGGCTGAAATGCAGGGGCGCGGGGGTTACGAGAGGAAGAGTTTTTTTGAAACGAACTCATTACTTTTGCAAGTATCTTTCACGCAGGGCGTTCTCTTGACTGCTCACAGGGGGACATAGTCGCACAACCGCAATGTCTGAGGGTTAGGAGATTCTGGTTTGACCTTCATACTAGCTCTGCTCGTGTCTCCTCTGGAAGATATGGCTTTCTGCCAAATAAATAAATGACCTGGTGTAGATTCTGGGGATCGAGGCGCCCCTAGCAACGTTGCCCCCACACCAAAATTCAGATCTCTTGACACACATCCCATCAAAACCAATATTTTTCCAGGGCAGACATGGACTCATCGCTTGGAGCTGATAATCAGACGTTTTCAAACTCACCTAAAGATTACATCACCACTGAACTGGAGGCATTTGCTGCTGCTATGTCACGGGAACCAAGACTTCTGCCGTTAAGCTCCGACAATACACCACAAGCATTTAGAAATACCTATGGAAGGGAAGTATTCAGTCAACGACCAGGTTCACGAGAAGACAGCAACAACCCATTTGACCATGCAAATAGCAGTTTCCCTCGGATAGCACAACAAAAACGGGATGGCCTTGTGCTAACCCTGGACGAACAAGTACACCACAAATTGGCCGAAGGTTGTTCGCATACTCGATAAATCAATTTTACAATATCAATTATTGATCAAAACACACAAAGAATATCTGTATCTAGTTACTGTTTGTTATAAAAAATACTTTACTATGTACTACATCACAAAGTCAAAAATACACATTGAAATTAGGCAGTAAAAGAACAACAAATAGTAGAATGAGGTGAAAATCCAGAAACCCGATAATCGCACTTGGAGGCAAATAAATAAATCAATCGCATGATCTACAAATGTTATTAGATGAAGCAATCATAGACGAACAGTATTTAAGAATTGGCACAAATCCAAACTAAACGCACTTCCCGCGAAAACCGTGTGGGCGGGGACTCACTACCATCCTGCCTTCCTCATTACAACAAGGCAAAAGGTGCTGTTCGGCTTGGAAGGGGCATTTTGCACTTTCACTATTCCTTCTGTTGGTTCATGTCAAGTAACAGGTCTCATTTTGATCAGACCTGTAAATTCCTGTGAATCCGCGAAATTCCCTCAGTTAGCCGCTCTGGTTACAGGAATTTACAGGTAATCACAAGGGGTCCATACAACTGAGTACCATTCGGCGCACCCCACCAAGCCGAATTGCGCTCAAAAAGGAACGCGCCGCTAAAAGTTTATGAGTCCCGCCCACTGTTTATCGGGGAATGTACCCCTGACCTAATAAGTTAAAACACACGCTGAAAAACAGGCTACTAAACCTAGATCAAGAGCCTTGGTTGGCACACTAACAACAACTCGTGGCACTCATCGTGGACCCTGCGGCCTTCTTGGGAAAGCCGGTTCCACTGTGACCGCTGGATGAGCCCTTGGTTGCTCTCCCACCATAGATGGGGGAGGTCGTCGAGGTGGAAACGCAGGTTCGACCACTACAGCTGGCAATGGACCTGGCGCCTGAATCGCTGGACCGCGAACCTGAATTGGAATTTTTTAACGGAGTTTTGCAATTTCTGGAATGTTCTAAGAAATGTTTTACTTCCACTGGTGCTTCCCAGACGTGTGAAATAAGGAAAGCTACTCAAACATGACAGGCTTTTTGGACGTCTTTTCCCTTTCCCTGCAGTCAGAGTCCGTCGCGATCATATGGGCGGAGCCGGGCCTCCACGATCCATGCAAACGTTAGGGCGTATGACGCGGTGTGAGCTGAGGCGCAACCAGGGCAGCATCTTTTCCCACAGTGCCATTGCTGGCCCGCAACACTTGGTGCAATCAGCCTTGACTGCGCTCCAAGCCATGCTCCTGGCACATGTTTTACCGCTTGCAGTGCCTATGATTACACTAAAGTGAAAAGGAAGGGGTAAAATAGGGAAGACACAGTGACAGCTCCAACTCCGCCTCCGCCCATAATGATCAGGGTGGCAGTGTAAATTTAATTTTTTTTTGCTACGATAACTAGCAAAACCCATGTATCCAATTTCTATTATCTTGTCATCATAGAACACCAGATTCTAGGATGCGCGTTCCCCTCCTCCAGCATGGGGTTCCCCTCCCTCCATACAGGTGGCCAAAAAAGTCATTTTCACAAGTCATATATCAGCAAAGTTTTCGCACCTCAGACAGAGGATGTGGATACGAGTACCAGGGCGGAAGATACCCAAGATGTTCCTCGATAAGCAGGAGCTGGCTCTCGCCCATCACCTTCATGTACACCAAAATATGAAGTCATCTCCAGTCGCAGCCTGACTGGAGAAGACCTTGGAATTCATGTCACCTCCAAACTGTCTCGCCGAAACTTTTAGTTAGTTGGACGTCACCCATGATTAGCATACCTGGAGACCAGCTACACTCGATCTAGAAACACCCCAACATCGAAGGCAGCTTCGGTCAACGTCGATCACGCCCTAGAAACATCATATTTTCACCGTATTCGCCGAGGGCGCGACTTTGACATGGGTAATGACAGCGAGGTACCTGGAGTGCGGAAAGACGATATTTTCTTTGTAGACCCGGACTAACGTGAGCGCTGGCGGATTACATCAAGCAACTCGAGAAGAATATCCTCCCTACATGTCGTCGCCCGTACCTTCTTGGAGACCTTGTACTGCTACAGGTTTCGGGTGCGAACCAATGGAAATGGCCAGAACGCGGATCAGTTTTGGAAAAACTCTCGCCTACTTCAAATGGAAGGGCGTTTCGTACCTGAAGAAGATGTAATATTGAAGTATGTCCCCTGACCTGAATCCACTCAATTACCTAGTTCGGGCGGAGTTCAATAGGGTGGTCTACGGTGGCGGAGAAATCGACTACCTCGCTGATCTCAGGTACCACATCGCGGTCGCGTGCCAGAATCTCTTGATGGCGCTCGTCCAGAAAGCTGTGGCGGAGTGTCATGATAGTATTTAGTATGCTCTTCAATATGGTGGTAAAAATGTCCGATCAGAATTTGATAAAGTGTAACTTATAGCGCCTCGAAAGTCAATGAGGCAAAGTGACTTTTTTTTGGCCCCCCTGTACACTGTGCGGACCCTGTCCTCACTTCGCGAGCCTCTCTCACCCCCTTAAAACGCGGTCTCACTGATCTACTAATACGCCGTACAAAGTTTTATGGATTATCAAGGACCGTGTGCCTATACTTCCTCTCGAGGGGAGATCTCTCCGGCACTTGTTGCCAACCTTTGCTGGATCGTTCCAAGTAGTAAGTACTACGGACACAGGAGAGCGGTATGCACATCGAGGGAAGAGGAAAAAAAAGGGGGGGGGGGTCTGCGATTTGTCGATGAGGTAACGATAGCCTGTGATTTTCAGACAGGACCTATAAGTTGAACCACTTCACTACAATTACTTCTCCTCCGCAAATTCCAATTTCAGACACATCAAAAGGCTCACCTGCCCCATAGCGCTCACCTTACGCCACCGAGACTCTAATAAAAAACTGCATACAAGCCCCTCCCGAGGCACACAGCGCCGAGCGGAGAAAGCAAATATCACAACTAAACTCACATTCTGGGCTATAATGCCTTGATGCAGTTGATGCTGCGGACCACCTTGAGGGCCTCCCAGGTGTTGACCACTGTCCGGAACAGACTGCTGAAACCGAAAAATATCTTCGAGTCCTACAAATACCTGAATAATGCACCACCCACTCTACTTTTGAAAAACTAGTTGAATAGCGAAGTTGGAATTCCAGGTAGAAGGAGAGCACCCAGAATCAGGTGTCTCAGCATATCAAAACCAACTCTTTAACGGCTACAGTACTATAGTACTGCATCTTAATCGAAAGGGCTAACCTTGTGCACTTAAAGGCAGCGCCCGCGTTCATTTGTTGTTCTCACGCCCTCTCTGGATCTAGTAGCTCCCCCTATGAGGATGGTGGACGTGCATGTTTCGCAACCCAAAAATGCGACGGAACAGCGGCGTCCGCCCGCAAAGAGCCGACGGCTCCGCCCACCTGCCGACCACGCCACCCAACTTCATTTCTAATGGTTGCCTGATGGTGCGGTTGTTCCATTGCTGCTTCTCTCCACGTGGAGTGGTGAGAGTGAGGTGATAAGGGAAAACAGCTGATATGAACAAGTGGAAACTCGTGCAATCACTCCTTCTCTTCGCCTTAAGCACGTACAACCGTTGTTCGGTATGAAACTCCTTCTAGGGCATTTGCGTGTTTTCTCTTTGATTTTTCTTCACTAATAGGCTTCTTGCTACCTCGCTGTTACTACGCATACTCATTAAATTTGAACGCGGGCGCTGCCTTTAAGGCACTTCCCGTCGCTGGGGAAAATTTTGGCAGAATGCGACCCCCTCCAAATTTTCCTCCTCTGGTACAACCCACCTCCCCTTCCTCCTTTCCCCATCCTACCTAGCATCTATTTACTATCTGACCGTTTGACTATTTCCACAAATTTCTTCTTCTTTCAATTTCTCAGAAGGAAAAACGGTAGGAAATCCCCAACTTCCCACCACTTTTCCAGGAAGTTCCTTCGAGGGAGGGAGGGGGGGGGGGGAGGGGTTTCGAGGGTGGGACTAAATATAACTATCGAAAACAGTAGTTCTATGGTAGCTCTGCGGCACTGCTGCCGAGCTCCTGCTGACTCCTCGCGGCTGAACGCTTAGTACAAACTTGTTTGGTGCGGATGCTGCGGCGTGTAAAGCTGGCTGGGTCTGGCGCGCGCCAGCGCGTTCTCCACCAATTGCTGTGGTCGACAACAAGTGGTGGAAAACGAGCTGGAGCCGCGCTAAACCCAGCCCCTGGTCCGCCCTTTCATCCGCAGCGAACAAAACTGTACGTCTTTGCCCGAACTGGCATTAGGTCAGCTCAGATGAATAACATAGAAGATCTTCTTTTCTGTACCCCACAACCCTTTCCAAACACTGACACTCAGAAGAGTGATTTCTCCTACTTTTTACTATTTCTCTTCCTATTATTTCCCACTTATCCCGATTTCCTGTTCCTATTTCCCCAACAGCAATAATCTCTGGTCAAATCGACACTTACCGGCGGTTTTGGTGTCGATGTTGATTGACGGAACAATCCGCCACCTTCATGACGTTTACTATACTTGAACATTCTGAGCTTTGTTACCGATGCATGTGTCGGGCGAATGATTCCTGGTGCTCGCATAGGTAATTGCGGTAGACGAGGATAACGTTTGTGAGCCGAGACCTGGAAGAAAACGAGAATGGAAACATCTATGATCTTCTAGATAGGACTCTGAAAACGTTGTAGGAAGACATACCTGCGCTTTCCCACCCTCTGCTTCATTTTGGTTCCCGATTTCATTGGTTCTACCTTTTCGTTGTTCACTTGCCTTTAGCTTCCTATAAACAAAAAGATCAGTTCGAAGACGATTATTTTCCGATAGCTCACATATTTGAAAATCGATGCACTGTACTCAACGAAATTCTTAGCGCAAAGCGATAATGGATCGCACAAGAGATTAGTCGCTCTAGTGTGAGGGTCAACAAAGGAGCAGAACAGCAG